TTTACTATTTCGAGTTCAACAATCAAAACTCCACCATGTTCTTGTATTCACCGAAAGTCTACTTATGAAACGAAAAATGAGTAGAGAAGCTCATCGAATGGCTACTAGGTCCCAAACTGTGGCAAGTACTTCAAACTGCTGTCATTCTAACTTCAGCTCACCTGTTGATAGGGGACTTTATCTGTTTAGTTTTTCGTTTTATAATTAGCTTTTCGAGACTATCACAATTACACATACACCAGGTGTATCACTATTTCGCTTGACGTGATACGCGGACTGTAGTTGAATTTTAACACAATTTTGTGAGTATACTTTTCGTTTCCGTGTCTCTAAAAAAAGTATTCTTATTCACACCCCTGGCGGGACTCGAACCATGACATTGCATTATTCTAACATGACTGCTTTTGTGTCAGAGGGAAGATGTGCATTTCAAAATTATGTGATAGGATTGTCGATGAAGCAAAGTTGTATTTGCTAGATCCCTCGACTACATTACTAATTTTTCGTCTATGAGCAGGTTTTTAAGACTTCCAGTAGATAGCCTATATGAGGCACCCAATGCCGTAGAGGAATTCAACTACCAATTCCTTTATCACCTTAAATGAAATAGGGTGAAAAAATATCATATTTATCTATCCAAGCCAGATAGTGATAAAAATATACTTGCGCTCGTTTGATACACTTCGGCAGATGAAGATAATGTTGCAAATGGGTCTAGGACAGAAGAGACGCTTTTGGCCACAGATGCAATATAATACAGTATCAGGATCTCCTGATAATCCAAAATATTTGCGATGAAGCCCATCTCCTGCAAACAAAATGCTTTACTTTGTTGGGACGACTTTCATTTCGTGTGAAGGTGCATGAAGAACAGATTCGCTCAACCCGTCTTCATCCGAAACGAGGGAGGAGGTCTTGTGGAAAGCGTCAGCCAAACGGCTGCGGTACAACGCGATTCATCCGTCCTCTTCTGGTGAGATCGAGCTACGAATATCTTCTTCATGCACTTTCATGCGAAATGAAAGTCCCCTCCAGCAATGTTATCTCAGGAGATTCATCGAAACTCAGTTTCGCTTGGTATCTACAAAAAGATGTATGACTATCCCACGAGGATGTTAACATGAGTTTGGTGCAAATGGCTCCGCCGAAGTCTGAATAAAGATCAGGCTCCATGCTTATACGAAAGCCATTCTTTTGTCAAAAGTGCATTACGTGACAAACATACAAAAGCTTATTAAAGCTCCATCAAGGCTGAAGGACGGTGGGCCGATGACATCACGTGGAATGGACACGAAAAACCTCAATTCGAGCCTGGATCGGGTACCGCGAGGGCAAAACTGCCCACTGCATCCATCCATCCACCTTTGCACATGACACGAAGGGTTCAATGTCTGATTTTTTCTTCGACCCAATCTAACAATCGACTGGCCTCCATTGCCACCTTGCAAGACAGATCTTTGTGTCCGGGCTACCAATTAATTAGTGTGGAACTCTCCATGCCAGGAACCGCATGGCATTTCGTCGGCTGGTTGCAAACACATTCTGTTCGGCCTCTCTGTACAACTGAGGCAGATCGCAAGAAGATATCGAGCCATTTTGAACAGGAGATCAGCAATTAAGTAAATATTTAAGAAAATAGATTCAAATACGTACTTTTCAAAGATTTTCAATCATTTCACTATCTCTTGTTGGCCAGAAGAGAGTGTATCTGAGCTAGTGCAGCCGAATTATTAGCTCATGGCTAAGACCATCAATCTCATGAATGGGGACTTAATTCTTGATATACAAGCATACAAAATGATTATCATGCACCTACTCATCAAAACATAGATACACGCACTCTTTTTCACACTAGCCTACATCCACACAAACAGGAACACATCAAAATTGTCTCAAAATGTCTTCAAGTTCGACCCAGGCCTGTACCAATGACACAGTCCATGGCTGGGTAGACTAACCGTCTGCTCGTCACCATCGCAACGACAGTGCAGTGGAAAAACGTTTCACTTTTCTCGCATTGCAACAGCATTGATGCCTCTCCAGTCCGTACTTTAACCAAAAGCGAAGCTGAGCCCAACAACCCAAAAGCAGTGGGTTGCGCACAAGTTTGAGCAATGCCCTTCGGGGAAGCTGCCCGAACAAAGACCTCCGTTGTTTACAGTTCACAGGAAAGAGCTGAAGGTCACAAGTTCTGGAGAATTCTCAATTATCCTATTCCGATTAGATGGATACTTTTTGCCAATATTCTCTATTATGAAATTGAAAAAATAAGGCATCAATTAGGTTTAATCTGCATACTTACACTGGCGTCTTGATTAGAAGCCAACAGGCGGGCGGAACAATTTTTCGCGAAAAATTGCACAAAGATTACATACACTTTGTACCAGTTGGTTGTGTGTCTTGGCTCGAACTCCGGGCTGCCCAATTATAAAGAGCTCGTTCTGGTGCAGGAGTCCGTCACCTCTAAAAGGACATAGCAAGTCGGAGAACAGTTTAGAATTTATAATTAGATCATGACCTAATATGCACAGACAAATTTTCACTTTGCCAACTGTTCTAGCATTCACGATTGGGTGGGCAACTCTGCAAATGTGAAATCATCAATTGGGATCTTTGAAGGATACGACAATGCCGAAGTTCGGGGATCTCGTTTCCATTTTACTCTGGTGGCTGGGGCGAGAAGCCCATCTACTAAGAATGCAACAGTATCTAAGGGCATTCATACAACTATATAATTATCGTGAATCCTCGAAATTCAGCCAACCGTGTTTTAGATCAACGAACTAAGATAATTTGGGAGGATTGCCAGCTAAGCATGTTAATAATTTGGGGCTCCTACATTGACGGAACATTCGCTTGGCCCGCGCAGCTCTACAGAGAAGATTATCACACTTTAACAGATTCTACAAAGCGAAAAAAGTTATGTTTCAAGGACTCTCTTGGCATGAAAGTGAGGCAAGGCCGGTCTCGCCTAAATCACCCTTATGGTGGGAATGTTGATGATACAAACTCAAGTGTCAGTCTTAACATT